GAGACGAGTTCTTACCATGTTGCCCCGGCTGCTCTTGAACGCCTGAGTTCAGAAAATCCTCTCGCCTCTACCTCCCAAAGTGCTGAGATTACAGGTGTGAGCCACTGCACCTAGCCAGCCAGAAATCATACTTATGAGTGGTAAAGTACAGCTAAAAATCAGGAACTGGGGTGGGGGGGTTAAAAAAAAATCAGGAGCTGGGCCCGATGCTGAGGTGAGTGGATTGTCTGAGCCCGCCGGTTCGAGACCCTCCTGGGCAGCGAGACCTCATCTCTACAATAAATCAAAAAATCAGCCGGGCGTGGTAGCGCATGCCTGTAATTCCGGCTACTTGGAAGGCTGAGGCGGAAGGATTGCCGGAGCCCAGCAGGTGAGGCTGCAGTGGCAGGGAGCGGCCACTGCACTCCAGTCTGGGCGACAGACTGAGACTCCAACACACCACACAAAAAAATCAGGAACCAAAAAGAAGACCAAAATTATACTTCAGGTGCGTGCCTGTAGTACCAGCTACTCTGAAGGTGGGAGGGTCGCTTGAGTCCATGAGTTCAAATGTAGCCTTGGCAACATGGTGAGACCTGTCTCTAATCTTTAAAATTTTAAAAAAACTGAAATGTTTTACAGAAGTACCTATTGTAATGTAATTGCTTGATGTCCAACATCTGATCTTCAACTCCCCATCAACCTTGGAACGTTCATAATTCTACTCTAAGTTCTCAGAGTAATCATAAGACAGTAATCATGTAGGCTTGATTGTAATAAATTATATTTACCCTCTTAAAAAAATGGCTGTGGAAGCAGAAAGGGGATGATCTAAATCAGCAGTCTCTAACGTTTTTGGCATAAGGGACCACTTTTGTAGAACCACGGATGGAAGTGGGGGTTGGGGAACATTAGACATTAGATTCTCTCATAAGAAGCGCAACCTAGATCCTTGGCATGCAGTTTACAATAGGGTTCACGCTCCCATGAGAATCTGATCTGAGCTGATCTGATCTGGTCAGAGCTCCACTCACCCTCTGCTCATCTTCTACTGTGCCGCCAGGTTCCTAACAGGGCACAGACGGGTACTGGTCCTGGCCCAGGGGTTGTGGATCCCTGCCCTATATGAAAGATAAGGGTCAGACTCAGTGGCTCAGCCTGTAATCCCAGCACTTTGGGAGGCCAAGGCAAGTGGACTGCCTGAGCCCATGGGTTCGAGACCAGTCTGGGCAACTTGGCAAGACTTCGTCTCTACAGTAAAACTAAAATTAGCTGGGCATGGTAGTGCATGCCTATAGTTCCAGTTACTTGGAAGGCTAAGGCATAAGGATTGCCAGAGCCCAGCAGGTTGACACTGGGGTAGCCGTGAGTGTGCCACTGCACTCCAGTCTGGGCAACAGAGTGAGACTCCCAACTCAAACCAAAAAACAAAAACAAAAAAAAGGAAAGATAAGAAAGAGGCTCAAGAGCCAAAGCTGGCAACCTACCCAGGAAAGAGAGATGCTATGGCATACATAAGTATGATATCTACCAGAGAGATACCAAGTGTAGGGTGGGAGTAAGTGGCAAGGATTCACCCTGCCTGAATGAAATTTCATCCACACTATCTATGTATTTTGGTTCTGATTCCAAGTACACTTAGATGCTTTCTGGTTAGCTTCTCAAATGTTCCAATGCCAGGAGTCAGAAGTCACACATAGAGAACATAAGCACTCAGGTCCCTAGAAAATAATATCCCCCACAGAACATTAAAAGAGTAGCATTCTTGTTCATACAAAAGACAACATAGTATTAATTGTTAAGCACCAAAATTTGGACACAAAATGGCTTCAAATCCTGACTACTGTTTACTTGATTTTTCTGTGCTTCAGTTTCTTCATTAAATGAAAGTAATGCTTACTTACTTCAAGTGTTGTTATATGGATTGAGCTAATTCATGCAAAGCATTTATTTACACAGTGCCTAGCATATAGTACTCAGTAAAGTTATTATAATTTTTCTTAATAATGATTATTTAAAATATCTCATGATTTTGATTTGTGTGAGCCAAAACCCAAGCATAATCTACCTCCCAAAAAATTATGATTTTAAATTATCAAAGAAATGCCACAATAAGGTCTCAATGGTCAGGCAGGACTATATTGTGTGTGTGTGTGTGTGTGTGTATGCAGGAGTGAGTAGGTGGCTGTCAAAGGCATACAGAAGACAGATTGTGAAGGGCTTTGTATGCAAGTTTGAATATTTTATTTTATATTTTATTTTCTGTACATGGACTCGCTGTGTTGCCCAGGCTGGTCTTGAACTCCTGGGCTCAAACAATCCTTCCACCTCAGCCTCCCAATTAACTGAGACTACAGGTACAATCCACTATACCCAACTTGAATTTTATTTTATAAGCCTTAAAAGGCCATCTAAAGTCATCTCAATTGTCAAAACCTTGTCAAAATCAATTTAAAACAAAATATGAACTTAAGTTACAGAACCCTCAGAAATTAACAGAGATAATTCCAGAAAAATTAAGTGATCAATGACTTAAATATTTTAGTAGCAGTACAACCAAATTTAAACCAAAACCAAAATGTCAGCGAATTTAAATGAATGCAAACTGGGCAACTTGGCGAGACCTCATCTCTACAACAAATCAAAAAATTAGCCGGGCATGGTGGCACTTGCCTGTAGTCCCAGCTACTTGGAAGGCTGAAACGGGAGGATCACCTGATCCCAGCAGTTCAAGGCTGAGGTGGCCGTGAGCGTGCCACTGCCCTCCAGCCTGGCTGACAGAGTGAGACTCCAACTCAAAAAAAAAAAGGAACATCACATGCTGTTTCCTGACTCCATAATCTACTTCCTGCAATTGTTGGAGGCACTGGACCCATCTGTTTCAAGTCTCTACCAGTACTACAACAAAGAAAAGAGAAGTCCTTATTACTTGCCCCTCTGTAAACCTATAGAGCTACAAACAAAATGCAGTACTGGAATAAAAGGTTCAGCACCCATAGATGCAAGCAACACTACATATTATAAATGCTAACATATATATAATACAGAGTGCAAACATAGTCCAAAAACATGGAAAACAAAGCCTTAATTCAGGGGGGAAGAAAAGGAAAAGAAAAAAAGAAAGATTTCATAAAACTATCAAAGAGTAAACATCCTCTTTTTTTCTTTTGCTATTCTAATCTACTTGTATCTGGTGCGACCAGATAAGTTCCTAGAATTGTGTCACAATAATGAATAGAGGACTCACAGAATTTTCAAGTCCGTTGGCCTTTGTCTAATCTTCATTTTATTTGAGTTGGAGTCTTACTCTGTTGCCCAGACAGGAGTGTAGTGGCACGCTCACAGCCACTGCAGCCTTGACCTGCTGGGCTCAGGCGATCCTTCCACCTCAACCTTCCAAGTAACAGAAACTACAGGCGGGCGCTACCACACTTGGCTAATTTTTTTATTTATTGTAGAGATGAGGTATCACTAAGTTGCCTAGGCTGTTCTTGAACCCCTGGGCTCAGGCAATCCTCTCACCTCCACCTCCCAAAGTGCTGAGATTACAGGTGTCAGTCACCAAACCCAGCTTCTAAACAACTATACTTTGGGAGGCCGAAGTGAGAGGATTGCTTGAGTCCAGGGGTTCAAGAACAGCCTAGGCAACTTAGTGATACCTCATCTCTACAATAAATAAAAAAATTAGCCAAGTGTGGTAGCGCCCGCCTGTAGTTTCTGTTACTTGGAAGGTTGAGGTGGAAGGATCGCCTGAGCCCAGCAGGTAGACACTAGGGTGGTCATGAGCATGCCACTGCACTCCAGCCTGGGCAATAGAGTGAGACTCCAACTCACATAAAAAAAAAAAAAAAAAAAC